ACCACGACCATGTCTCATTTAAACCGGTTTTAAATTATCAACAAACCCTTTCCACGTTAGTTGATGAAAATTCGCCTAGAATGGTTTGAGAGATTCACAAAACCAACTTAGTAAATAATATTTCGACGATAAATGTGCTGTGCTATTTGAAAATAGTTCTCAATTATTTCCTTGATTCACCTGAGTAATATATTAATCATTAATTAACCATACGGGTTTTGTTTATCTCTCCCAATTGTTACCTATATGCGTTTATTGAAATCTCACTTACAGATCACTTGTTAATTATTAAATAATTGATGATTGAATTCCTAGTAGATTTCAGCTGCAGAATTGTTGTGTTGTACTCTTTGCAAAATCTAAAGGTACTACGTCTGTTTCTTAGCTAGGTCATATGCACAACTGAAATGTAAGTATTTAATGAAACAATAGTTATTCAGAGATCCTTTATTCAGTAATTTAATAGTTGCTCCCAGTCGGTGATATAAATTAATACCCAACCTGAAAATACGTTTCAAGAATAAGTTTATTCAGCAAATATTGTAAATAATTCATAAATGTGATATATACAGAGAGCGATTTAATTTTTGAAATGTTTTATTTGACAAAATGAAAAATAATTTATATCAATATGATGACACAATGTGAGTAACTTGTGTGAACAGACAAGTAAACCTCTTGATTAGATTCGGTTCAATGCTACAATGGACATTATAACTATTGGATAAATCGAAACATAAGACCGTTATATAATTGAATTTTATTTCCTATAAAATAATAAAACAACTTGGAAGTTTAAACAAAGTGATGGGCGAAATTACAGTCAGTCATCGGTTCAAGTTGTAGATAATTCAAACAAGACACTTGCAAAATAACAGATTTCGAAGCAAGCATATATATATATATATATATATATATATATATATATATATATATATATATATATATATATATATATATATATATATATATATATATATATATATATATATATGTTTCGGATAGCACTGAGACATATTAGATTGTTTATAAAACAATTAGTTCCCTTAATAAAGTCCGATAATATAATGAGAAAACGAAGGTTGTCAGAATTATGTGATATATTTGCGTAACACATGAGTTTATAAACATCTGGAGTGTTTATGACTAAATAGCAAATATATTTCTCAGAATTTACGAAACCATCACACACAGCTCTGATAAACACGTAGGTGCAGATAACCCTCACGGAATTTAAAACAATAAAAATAAGTTTTTGCTTTTCTGGAACCGTCAACCTAGAAATCCAAAGAAACCGACACCACTATCGGAAGAAAACTTTATGGAACTTATGAAATTTGAAGATGAAGTGACGATAAATGAAATCTCGATTATTTTTTACAGCCTTTAATTATACCGAAAGAAAAGCTCTTGCAAAACTACACTCGGCAATCAAAAACTTCATCTTCCTCAGTACCAGTTTTAAAAGTTTGTGACAAATGTCTCAACAGTTGTTGAGAAACCATATATTCAATCCCAGCTGTGAGATCTGTTTAGGTCTCCTTTATGACCTCAACGATAAAACATATGGAACCTACATTTGGTTTATGATTACATGAACCAAGGTTTTTATTTAGAAATCAGTAATTTCTTCTAATTTCACTTTCATTAGTGTTCTCCATAATTAAACTGTTTTAGTAGTTAATTGACTGTATATTTTTCGATTTTTAGTTCCAATTTTTTCTATTACACTGCCGAATTCTAACACAACTCCTTGTTTTATGTACTAATGTTTGTACTATTCAGTGGCAATCCTACAGTAATTTCCTATAACAGTTTTCACACAAGTAAGATAACCTTCCTTATATGACTCAAGTTTTTCGTGAAATGTTTATTTTCTCACTAACTGTACAACTCTTTGCAACCTTATTTCTTTAAGATATCGTTTAATTTGTGTGATGTACTCTTGATACTCAAATCTATCTGAATTTATATGCAGTAAATAAATATTACACCAATTTCCCGATTGAACTTATGAACCATGTAACTGAAACCAAATGCGCAAAAGTTTATACTGCCAACTGTGAGCCAGGATGAAGTATTTTATTTATTTCGTCTTTCTGTACTTCAGTCGAGAAGCTAAATCAAAAACTGTCAGTGTATTTAGACTAAACATCTAATATTTCTTGAGAGATATCAAGGAAAATATTTTACGGGTAGTGTATACATTCTTAAGAGCTAGAAATACTGATATTTTTAAACGAACAGGTTGATATTTATCAGTGAGATAACATAATAAATTTAATTCAAGCACAAGAACTCAATCGGCATGCATGTACCAATCTAATCAATATAGTTTAATCGAGGAAAAATAACGATATTACAGTTAAATAAGTATATTGCGTAAGACCGTCTTCCATATGTACGCTAAGATTTTTTCATCATTGAACATCTCATCAAGTGATTTACTTTAAAGCCATCTTCTTTACGAACCATTATTTTCACATATGTTAGTGAATTAAAATTAACACCATGAAGACACATTAATATAACTTAAAATAAGAACCTAATAAAAATAGAAAGTATACTGATTAAGAAACTGTAATGATGTACACAGACACAAAAAATCGACTGTTATTTATATTTCACAAATTCATAATCATATAAACATGATTGTCATAAAGTAATCTAATATTCTATAATATTATTTTAAAAGTATGTAAATAAGAGAAATTTTAAAATAAGTGCAGTAAAACAAATGATTAATAATATTTAACATATAACTAACTCAATAAGAATCAAAATATTACTTCATTTCGTTATTTACTCTTCTATATAAACAACTGAAAAATTTAAACAAGACAAAAAGAAGGTGAATTGAAAAGTAAATTAACAAGTACAACTACAACATAACGATGACAACAATTAAAACAATGAATTCAATGCAATCTTACTTATTCTTTTCATTCATTTATATAATCCAATCATAAACAAAATAACAATTCAATTGATATAAATACAGATAGAAATGATTATGTCTATAATTTGTCAAATCAATTTTACATCATCATTATCTATAAGAGTAAAAATAAAATTCATCACATTTACTTAACACAATGAGTTCTGTTGTTACTATATTAATTCATACTTTATTATCAATACAATATAAAGAAACACTAAACCATGACTTTTGTTGATTGAGGAAACGATAAATAGAACAGACAGTAATAGTAATTGTAGTAATAACAAGACTGGTAATAATAATAATAATAATCTATGATTTTAAAAAAGAAACAGAAATAATTTGGGCTATGTATACACGTATTCCAAAAATGAATTTTAAAAAATGTATGTTAGTTGCCAATATCTAGAGAGAGAACAAAAACTGGACAATGACAGAACAACAAATTAATAATAAGTATAGTGAATGCAAGAATAAAGGGAATACAATAAATGCAAAAACTAACCAAGTTAGGAGAGAAAAAATGCAAAATGTATATTATGTAGCTAAGAAGTGAAGAAAACAAACAAGTAAACTGAAGTAAAACCATTATTTATCTCCATTTGTATGCGTATGAATGTGTAGATTTGTAACTGTATCTAAGTGCATGTTTGGTAGGTAAATAGGTATGCGCAAAGTAAAATATATACACGAGTTGGGAAGAAAAAAATCCATGTGTTCTTCATTCTACTATGCCCTATTCATAACTATTCTATATTTATTACAAATTTTATCCACTAATAATTAGTGCAAACACTACCTATTTCTATTGCTAACCACTATAAATATTGCACAATATAACATGACAATTATGCTGACATGTACATTTTTAACAAAAATACAACCAACATACATTCTTAAAATGCAAAAATTTTCAAATATAATTGAAGTGAAAAGTCAAGTATAATGCAATAGTCAGACAATCGAAATCCTTTTTCTCTCCTTATTTCTTAAAAATTAGATAAGCTTTATTATAATGCAATCACTGTAACCAGTATTACATTAAGGAAATTACATATCAATTAAAAAGTATAGGATAAATGAACGAGTGTACAAGGATGATAACAATAACAAAAACAAGTCTAACTGAAACTTACAAAGGTAATAATATTGGAAATCGTAGTTATAGTGATAATGTTAACGCAGTCAGATAACTAATAACACATTCAATGTCTCTGTATGATTTTATGTAATAATAACAAATCATGTAGATTAACAGATGCCATAAACAACAACAGTAATAACATCACTGAAATGACAAGTTAAAAAAAAACAGTTTATTAGCCAGATTTAGACTAAACGAATCAAGTAAAAAAACACTCTTTGAGTGAGAGGAAACAAATCTCCGGCGCAGTCACTGAGATTCGGAACAAACAGACAAAAATGCAACAACATAAAACAAAAAACAATCAGAAAAATTTTTTTAAAAAAAACGAACTAATCAATCATATATTGCACACAAAGAATATGAAGAGGGGCGAATCGAGGAAATAATGAATAATTAGATTCTATGGATCTCAAAACTAATTAAAAATAACTAATAATATGAATAAACAAGATTGTTCAGAAAAGTCAACATAACAGTGTAATACACAATAACTTTATACACAAAATAAATGAGCATAGTATTTTCTTGACATGATTAAACCACAAAATTCAGGTTTATATTATTATCAGAAATGGGACTATTCCAAACTTAAATACAAACAGAGTAAACGGAATTTCATGCTTCTAATTAAAAGCAATAATGAACAAAAATGTATACAGTATGACATTAGAAATGGAGGTTGAACAACTATCTCGTACAATATAATTTGATACAATTACTATAAACACGGGGATTATAACGACCATCTCGAAGCTTAAATGGAATGCAATTTTCAATTAGAAAGCTGCCATCCTCCAAATCTTTTTTCATAAACTGTAGATAGATGACTAGCATCGAAAGATCAAGACTGTTAGTGAATCAATAATTATACTCTAATAATAATAGCCACAAATTAAAATGACCAGTAGAAATTTAAGATGACTTATTATTGCTGAAATCACTACCAACACCGCCATCTGGTGGATTAATATCTTGATTTAAATCTGTCTCAACAGCTTGATCACCAGATTTGGGACCTGTGACTGAATCTAAAGATGACCCTTGACCCCTGTGGTTTGTGAGTGGATAGGAAGGCATTGATGCCTGATGACTTAGACGAGGACGGGGATGTGTAGAACTTTGTGGAGGTGAGTGTGACTTCTGTGATGGACGACTTGTAGAAGTGAGAGGCTGTACAGAACCGCTAGTAGTAACAGTTAAACTAGTTGTAGAAGGAAGATGAGTGTCCGTGTTTGACATAGGATCGAGAACACCATACATTTTATGGGCTTTTTTGTTCATATGTGCCATCAATTCACAGGAAATTCGATAGCCTTCTAATATTTCTTCTTTCCATTGTGTAATCATGATTTTGTCCTGAAATAACAGAAAAATCCTCATACTACTAGTAATTATAGTACATATAAGATAAAACGTTAACTAAGGTATTTAGCAAACTGAAAGCACCTGCAGAAATACGTATACACAATGTCATACGTGATTACCTACAGCAACAAGAATCCTTTACAAAACGCATATGGAGCTCATCTTCAGTTATTTCGAATAATGTGGTCCACAAATCTGAGCTTTTCAGATAAGAGTTTACTCTGACGATACCTAGGTATCTAACTGAATGGTTCTCAATAGAGAAATCATGCATAATACAAAACTACGGATGTAAAATATATCCAGGTGAACTGCAAGATTTGTGAATATCCTGCAAAACAAGTTGTTGACAATATTTTGTTAGATAAAGTCATACATTCTATGAGAAATATTTCAACCGGTGTAAATAAATAAAAATAAAAGTGGTAGATATCAAACGAAAGTACAAAAAGTATCTTAACTGATTACATATTTGTGGCTTAAACATCGAGAAAAAGCACATGGAAGACATCAGAAAGCTCAAACTGTGATTCCTTCAAGTTCAATTCATGAAGTTATTAACTGTTGATTTGAGTAGTACGGTGCGATAACCGCGATTACAGCTTGGAAATAGTGGGTAGCACGGTTTAGAAAAGACTACAGTGGAGTACATGCATCTACTATTTATCTTCCCAGAAGATCTTGTCACACTTTCACATTATGAATTCGTTGCTTATTTTCCAACCGTGTCTCCACGTTCATTCTTTCTCAGTATAATTGACGTTACTACCATCCAAAGTCTTTTGATTTTCATTTGGTTAATTCCATTTGATTGTGATGAAATGAAGCACCAGTTTGGAGTAATGTACATTTGTGTCAAGTCCTACGTTGAATGATTGACTGACTTAAAGTCTGAATAGCACAACAATGACGAGTCAGTGCATACTTAAGAAATTTGACTATGCATCTTCAGTCAAATGTACAAAAAACAACTCAGAGAAAAAATGAAGCTTACATTTGAAGTTATGTACAATCGCGTATCATTTTTCAGTTTAATTGAAATACAATTATCCATTTTACACACACGAGAAAACTCTGGAGAAATTTCTTTGATATCAAGCATTGATATAAGCTGAAACAGAAAATATTTAACAAGACAGGTGGAAAGAAAAAATATGATTTGTTATTATTACTCGCTTTAGTTATTATTCAGTGTCTTAAAGTATAGCAACGATGAGAATCCATAAAGACATTAAGCTATTATCATTCGAAAAAAACAGTCTGCGATAAACAGAGATGAATGGTGACTAAAGGTGGAATCCAAAATGCAACGTTTCGTCCTGTCTGGGATTCGTCATCTGAATTTGCCTGCTTTCCAGAGCTGATGTTCAATCCGGGACTTGAAACCAGTACCTTTCGCTTTTAGCGTTATCCACTTAGCTACTGAGTCCAGAAGACCACTAGCTTGAAAATAGAGTGAAATGTAATCCATTTTATATTGGTTGAGTGAATCTTGCCAATCACGTTTAAGACTGGAATTAATCAGTCCCTTATTGGTACGTGTGCCAGTAAGAAACTGATCACTTGCAGTCCTAAACATCAGTGAGAAATTTCAAACAACCAATTCAACAATTCATCAATCTATGATAAACCTATGAACAGTTAGAATTAATTAAACAACGCAACCTTCAAAAGAACAACACAATTTAATAATATTTTCAAGTCCGAAACTCGAATGACATTTATCCACTCTTTTAAACGAAAAAGCACAAATTGAGTAAGTAAAAATAACTGAGTTTTATGGTACCTAAAGAAGAACAAAAACCTTTCTAACTCCAAGTTTGATCAACCCACCGTTAAATCAAAAATTATGTGAAACCCCACACTACCTTCCGAAGATAAGTTAATTATCTAAGACTCTAATATTTTTACATATAAATTACTAAATAAATGTCGTGACTGCGATCTGGATCATCATGAATAAGTATATGAACAATTCATTAGTAGCAAATAATATAAAATACAGAAATTAGTGTAACTCAATTATCATGCACAGGTGTATGTAATCAATCTTCAGTTATACTGTGTGTGAGCTGATGATAGTATTTAAGTACCCAAAGCAACGTAACCGGGTCGAGGTTTGAACCTGCAACTCCTTGGTTTAAAACCGAGTAAATGAACTACTAAATCATTGCTCTTCCCAATATTTTGACACTTCATGCTTTAGGTACACATTCCATATTAATTTGAGGTTGACAATATATAAATGTTCCCGTAAGTAATATGATTCTCAGCAAAACTAATTATGATTCTTAGACAGATACTATGATTTGACTTTAGACAGCTCAAATACACTCATCATCATACACCATCACAGATTCCCATAATAAATAAATATTTTGAGCCCTAATAACCGGTATTTGTCATGAATTATAAAGCACTTTAGTTTCCACTCCTATATCAAAGAACATTTTCTAATAATTTGTGGGTAACATAAACATTATTAACCTATGAAAATAATCACTTGGTCAATTTATCTTAAAAATTGGAACAATTATGAAAAAGAGGTAATTCTTAATTGTTTAATAATACAATATGCATCTTCTAGTTAAGCTAGTCATAATTTGAAAAGATATTCTTTCCAACAAACCAAATGAAATGAAACATTGAAAAACCACAATGCGTACATCAAAAGCATAATCATAAACATGCCACCTGCTGTAGAAAAGCTAACAAAATACCATTCGCTCAAAGATTTTAAGCTAAAAATGCATAGGTATTGACTGTTGTAGACATATGAGCATACAGAAAATTGAAATACATTGACATAAAAAAAAATTAATCAAACTTAAAAGGTAAGCCACACTTACATCAACACCTTTCTTGAGAATTAAACCATCTCTAGACTTGTTGTATATTTCAATACGGTTGGGAAATAAACGCAGATGTTTACGTTGCCATGTTTGCAAAAATGGTCCGCCAAGTTTCAGAACGTCACCCTCAACAATGCAGTCAGAGGCTACCCCATCAACAGTCATATTGTCAGAAAGATTTCCACCCGATCCACTATTTGAAACTCCTACATTCCCAATGTTTATTAAATTTCCAGCACTTGAAGTAACTCCAGATAAGCCACTACTTGAAACATCAGCAGTTTGTGTAGAACGTTGTCGTGCACGAGCTTTTTTATTATCTACTTTATCTGCCTCTTGATTAACAAAATCAAACACAGTTTCAGCTATTTCTAACTGCCAACGTTCAGACACAACAAGTGAAAAGTTCTGATACAATGCTTGATCAGCTTCTGTGAGCTAAATATTTCAATTATTTAGAAAATTAAGAATATTTTATAAAACTAAATTTAAAAAATTAAGATTTTAATACAATTTCAGAAATATTTACTACATATTTTATACGAATATTCGTCAAGATTAGAACGAATAGTTTGTCAGTAATTGAGCGCCGAGTATAGATTAGTCATTATATGTGAAAATTATATTTGAAATATTCTCCTTCGATTGAAATTTAACTAATTCCAACGTTTCGTCCAGCTAACTTATCTGGACGAAACGTTGAAATTAGTTAAATTTTAATCGCTGAGAATATTTCAAATATAATTTTTACATATTTACTACATATTTTGAAAAATATGTAACAGTTATTGTTTTGTAAATAACATTCATTATCAATGTTTAGTGGCTTGGTAATTTCGAATGAATTGAGCAATGGGTAGATTGTTAAGAACAGTAATAATAAAAATAACAACAATAACAATAATAATGTTTCTAAGATCTCAAATATACCATTATCTCTATTACTAGAAATCGTTCTATTTAAATATGTAAGTTGTTAACAATCATTCGTGAAAAATATAAATATTTTGAAAATGATTAAATCATAATTATCTGAAACTAAGTCTAAAATATTTAGAACAGTTTAATCTTCAAAAAAATTTCAGTTTTAAACAAATTGTGATATTACAATTTTCACTGCAAACAGAATAGGAAGAAGGTGAGATTTGTTACATAAACTTTCAGATACAGTATGTTTACAATCAATGGAGTGATGGAACTGCTTAATATTTTGGTATTTGCTATTGAAAAACCGTTAATCCAAACAAATTAAGTAAGAACGCTAAAACTGTAGATGAAGATTTATTTGAGATTAAAATTAAATAAAATAAATACACTAGTTTTGTAGTGAACAAGAACATGAGTGGGGACAACCGAATATATTTGATACGAAATTACAGAGCATCTCACTGAAATCTGAGAACCATATAGTAAATAGTTAACTTGCAAAATATCAATCCACGTCTCAAACTTGACTGTTCCATTGGTAACTACCAGTCCATTGTCTCAGATTTAATTGTTCATACATTTTCATACCAACTGCGTTCCGTTCCCATTCTTTCCTTATCAATCTTCTACTGAAATACATTATATGCCTGACCACCGTTATATACTACTTATGTGTATATATGTAACCCACACCTCAATTTAAATGTGATTTACACTGTTTAATGGTCAGATTTGTATGCATTAAACTAAATAGTACTAAATATTAATTAATGAATAATTTACCAAACAAACGTTAATATAAAATATCATAAAAGTTACCATCTATAACCAACAGATATAACTAATATGAGTGTGTCACTTCAGTGTTTTTCTAATATGATTGTCTTTCTTAAAAATATGATTGAATATCATAGAAAATTGAAAAACAAAATTCATATCATTCATCACCAATGTTCCAGCCAATGAAGTCTACTTACCATATCAGGTAATAAGTGAACGATAACACAAACGAACTATTAAAGGCAGGAAATTGATCGATTCAAATATGTGTCATTTAAGAACTATCAGAAAAATCAAGTTCTGATTCAGTATAATTCACCCTGACAATCAACTTTGTTATAACTAGAACATAAACAATTTTCTCAATCAAGAGGTATTTTGTATGGTAAAGTTGAATAAATATTGCTTCAAAAAAACTAACGGAAAATTCTTTGCAACAATAAGATTACTAAAGGGAGATAGATATCAACAAAGCAACACACATTTCGTCACTATGCCCATTAGTTTTAAATAACCAGTTTATGAGCTTTAGGACGAATATTTTGTCTCTGTCAACGCTCAATGGAGTGGCTTCAAAGTGAGAATTAGTGATCAAAAACGAAACCTCTCAACCAAATTTTGACCTTCAAATCTATTGATTAAACACCTCTTACCTTAATACCTTTAGTATCTTCCTCATCAAAAGAGCCAATGTCAAAAGCATCTGCAGCGTTTACTTCTCCCCGAGGTGGAATTAAAGGTGGTGGGTACTTTTGCAGATAAACCTGCTGCCAATCAATTCCTTTGAAAAATGGATGTTCTCGAACTTCAAGAGATCTAAAATGGATTTACATGAGAAAGTAAAACAGATATATCCATGGAATTAAGCATATAATTAAAAAACACTTTATTAGGATATGCTATGCACAACCACCAGAAAAGAAAACAAATGGATTAAAATCAAACTGAAAATGCAAGTTAGACACACAAGATTAATGATTATCAATTGTTAATTGATAAGGAAACTGATAAATTTGAAAATAGTTCTTTAAAATATTTTAGAAATAAAACTAGTGATTTATATTAATCATTAAAGTGGTTACCCAATATCGGTAGAAATAGTTTTGTCTGTAGGAAAGATTGAAGGGACACCCTAACAAATAGTAGTAATTTTTAAAATATCTACAATTAACTTGTTGTTGGCAAAATGACACTTAAAACCAATCGCTTTAATTAAATACAGATTAGATATTTAACTGTGTCTAGAATAAAACTATTTAAACTATCATAACTATGAATAAGCATTCAGTAGACTGTTGAACAGAACAGTTCAAACTAAACATGCTGAAATGTTTCCAAATATCCAATTACCATTTAATATCTTTTCATTCGTTTCTAGATTGATTAAAATAATACGCCAACGTAAGCGAATAGATGAACGGACTAACAACAACCATGTTAGGATAACTAAAACCTTTGTTAAGCTATGCAATAAAATATATGTCAATTAAAACATAAAGCAACTCAACTGTCTGGATGAAACTCGTATAATAACCTAGAAAAAATTAAGATAATATAGTCAATATGAAAAGCTAGATCAAATAGATCTCCAATATCTTCCGTACCTACAATCATCAAATAAGATGTAACAAAATGGCCACAAAAATCAATTGTTTTTGAGTCAAATTAACGTAGAAAATCTACTATCCTTAAAATCATATAGTTAAATAAGTCAGAGTTATGAAAACTAATTTTCTGATTAGTTTATTTTCATTGATATAATAACAAGCTATCATTTGCAAATAAAAGAACACTAAATAATAATAATAATAATAATAATAATAATAATAATAATAATAATAATAATAATAATAATAATAATAATATGCCACTGATATGTTACCATGTTTTACGAACAAATTACTTTTGGTGGAGTTTCGTTTGCCGAAGCAAAAGGCTAAATCGTGAACTTTTCGCTGTCTTTCTGAACAATGTTATCGATAAAAACTTCTTCAAATAGAAGTGAACTATTCTAGTTTTTCCTCATGGAACTAATAGCTTATCAAATCGACTTACATCTTGATAGGTTTTATGTATGTGTAGAAAATGACCGGATACAGTTCGACAGCAACCAATCATGATCGACAGGACAAACTTTCAGTCACATGTAAAAAAAATTCGAATAGCCCGCTTCCACCTGAAGCTTTAGCTGATGTTATCAAGAAGGACAATGAAAGCTTCGTGATTCAGCCTCCTGGTTCAGAGAACGAAACCACAATAACCATTCATTTGACCTACAAATTTTCACCATCTCAAAGCAAATTAATATAACTTAGCTGGACTACGGTTTGCGTGTTCCGTCTCAATAAAACAGGTGAGATAATTTGTGTGAACAGAAAAATAAAGAAACCATGAAGAACAACGGAAGATATTTTCGGGAACATTATTTCACTTTATTCAAAATTTGTAAAATACTAACATTTAGTTTTTGCCCTGGTGATTCTAGAAACTGTAAGCTTTCGTTTGATACATGAATCACTGTCATGCCCTTTTCTGTTTCAAAGCTATTGTAATTTGAACATAACCTTTTGCACTCCCTTTTTACCTCAAAGTCTGGTTTGCATACAATTGTATTCTTCTAATTGTTTGTGCGATGCGTCCGTGTTAGTCATATATTTATTCAGGTTTTTGATTAATCTGAATCAAGAATAAAATGAAGTGTTCCAGTTGACTCGACTTCTCTCTCGCTTGTCAACCAATCAGGTGATAGGATACTTTTCGTCACTCAACCATAAGTTGTGAGTTTCATTTGAAATCACACATTTCTACCTAAAAGGCTGAACCAATTAGTCTATCATATCAAGGCCTAAACCTAGATCGAGACAAGTTTTCTCCTGTATATTATTGAGTAAACAAATGAAAAGCGTAGCAATGATTTCCACAAACAAATCATGTTATTTAAAACACAGTTGATACTGCAACGATTGGATTACGAATACATAATGATATGTGCCACTGAATTTTTTATCATGAATGAAACAACTAATTTAATTAGTACTGAAGATGTTAACTAAGATATTCAGAAACTTCCCAATATTTTGGCCGCTTATTATCAATAATCCATGAAGGACTGTAGAGAGTATATTTTGCTTATCACAACCAGTTACTTATTCATCAGAAGGCACATAATAGGATTAAATATGCCCACACTGTCATGAAAAATGTTTACTTCAGAAATATCTTACCCACGACCCATACATCCAAGGCGATTGCATACGTCACGTGCTAACAAACCTTCCAACAGGGACCGCATTTCACAGGACATACCGTCTGGAATATCGAGACTCTGTAGAAGTTTGTAAATTAGTGAAAAACATTGATTGAAATCATACTATAAACAAAATAATACAAAAGTTACTATTGAATACATTTAGATATCACAATATTACATGAGCGTTGATCATTTGAATTATTTTGATGATTTCCCATGCTTTACTACACTTTCCGCGCGCTATTTAAAAAAGACAGTGGTATTTTTCCTCGCTGAGTAAATTTCTTTGTTTTGATCGTTTATTACGTATCAAGACTACTGTCTTCACTTTAATTGAATTCATTTCAGTTAAAGTATTCGACTAAAGTATCGTTTTTACTGTTCTCTCAATTAGTTTTGTCGTTGGTACTCTTGAGTACCTATTTTTCAACTTATCTGTTAGTACTTTTGGTCCTAGCAATCTACAGCTCTTCACTTTTTTGGTCATTGATCATTTTTTTTCTTTCTGAGTATCATCGCATGTTGAAAAAAAACCTCCTAAATGACCGGACAGTGTAAAAAGAAGCAGTTGCCAACGTCCGGGTTGTCGTTATCCTGTTGAAAGCGGCATGCGGTGCGACGAGTGCAGAAACTGGTACCACGAAGTTTGCACGAACTTAACGCCTGTTGCTTTCAAACGGTTCAGTAAGAAGGGTTGTGTATGGCTTTGTCAACAGTGCTGATCGAATGCAAACAGCTTGTTAACCGAGGCCATCTCACTGGTTGATGCTGCAAAGAAGTGTTTTAGCAAGCATAGTCGGAACGCGTCAAACAGCACTCGATCTGTCGACACGCAAATCAATGTGAAGGAAACTAAGGTTAGTTCGATGATAGATAACTCACGCCCATCAAAGAAGGAAAAGCAGCCTCCAAAGGGGCCTGCCTTAAACAAAAGCTCAAGAAAAGTAGGGTTTTCTGTTCCCCATCTCCCAGATGGGTTCCAACAGGAAACACCTATAAGCCGCAATCTCAAGGCTCGATCCGTTTCAAGCGGTAAACATAACATGACCTCTCAGGTCGTCGACAACCCCCCAAAATCCAACACTAGGTTTAACGCAACTGTTATTGCTTCTACCAGCACCGTTGACGAATGGGTACACGTTGTAAGGAAGAAAAGTAGGGATATAAAAGAGAACCCTGCATTCGTAAAAGTAGCTGAAAAATCGAAAGCTGATCATAGCGACAGATCAGCTATTTTTCATAGAATCAAGGAGAGCGAAAGCTCTGAACCTAAAGCTCGTTTTGAGCATGACATTGTACTGATTAGGCAGCTGCTTAATCAACTCATGTCTCAAAATATGACCAGGGTCACCTTGCTAGAGGTATACAGACTAGGGAGTCTAGCGGACTCGAAACCAAATCATTCCAGACTGCTTAAAGTAGTATTCGGCTCTTCGAACGAACGTGACCTAATTTTACAGAATGGACACAAATTAAAGGGTTCAGGAGTCATTATCCGAAAGGACCTACCGTTGGCAGACAGTGTTAAAAGACGGGAAGCCGAAAAAGAACTACAACTTAGGTTAGACGCTGGGGAAAAGGACCTGAAAATTGTACATTTTCGGGTTGTAAGACTTCGACAGAGAATGATGCCGAAGCCACTCTGGGTGAAGCACGAAGGCACTTAAACAGGCTTCGGATCTGTTACACCAATGCACGAAGCTTACTTAATAAGCAATCGGAACTAGGTGTATAGATTGACTCTACAAAGCCAGACATAATCGCAGTAACAGAAACCTGGCTGACACAAGCCATAGATAGTATGAAACTTGATTTCGAGGGTTTTACGTTAGTAAGGGCCGACAGAACACAAAAGCGCAAAGGAGGGGGAGTAGCTCTATTCATTAGGAATGCTATCCCATTTGCCATTATCGACAGTGTATCCCATGAGAGTCGGACGTGTGAATTAGTTAGTTGCCGCTTGAAATGCAAGGTACAAGAGATGCTGATTGGTTTGGTCTATCGCAGTCCAAGCTGTGAGGCAAATGAGATCCTGTTAAGCAGTCTCAATACTTGGTCCCAAAGTGGTCGATGTCTAATCCTAGGGGACTTCAATGCACCTATGGTAGACTAGGAAAATCTGCGAACTAAATCGTCGGAGAATTCTTTCGAGCAGGAACTAGTTGATGGGGTTATCACATGTGCTCTAGTGCAACATGTGAAAGAAGCGACAAGGTACGATCCGGACACTGAATCATCCTTATTAGATCTGATACTCATTCACTATGAGGATGATGTTGCGAACCTCCATCATATGCCACCCCTAGGTAAAAGTGACCACGCAGTTATAACTTTCGACTTCCATATAACTGCCAGTCACGAGCATGCGTCAGTCCAGTCCAGACCCAACGTCTGCAAAGCAAACATACTAGACATCATGCACTCAGCATCGTTAATAGATTGGAAAATAGACCCAGAGTCCTCCATTGAAACGGCCTGGGACGCATTTCGAAATTCATACTTAAAAGTCACCACACCTCACATCCCTTGGACTATACTAAAGGGGCCGAAAAACTCACCACCATGGCTCAGTAGGGAGGTCCGTATTCTTCTCCGTAAGAAAAGGAAAATGTGGGATAGATTTAGGTTACTGGGGACTGATGAGTCAAAATCTCAGTATCGAAAGGCTCGGAATACTTGTGCCTCGACCCTCCGTAAGTCTAGAAAGTTGTACGAAGGAAAACTTGTTAAGGAATCCATAGAATATCCTAAACGCTTGTATTCCTATATAAACCAAAGGAGAAAATTAAATATTCCTGCTCTATGGGAAGACAGTACTGCTTCATCATTAGTGGAGGACGACTTTGGTAAGGCTCAAGTGTTCTCGAACTACTTTAGCAACGTATATACCATAGAAGCGCCCTTCCCGTCAGCGTATACAGATCCCCCCAGACATACACTGGATAGCGTGACCATTAAAGAACTCGATGTCTTTGGTCTGCTAAATAAGCTTGACATAGGTAAATCCACGGGGCCCGATGAATTACATCCCAGGCTACTGAAGGAATTATCTAACTTCATTGCAAGCCCTTTAAGTACATGCTTTAACCTATCCGTTACACAGGGTTGTTTACCAAAAGACTGGAAAAACGCCATAGTAAGTCCTGTCTTCAAAACAGGTACAAAACACAAACCTGAGAACTACCGCCCCGCTAACCTAACTAGCGTGGTTGTTAAAAAGATTATTCGGAAGGAGCTGTTTAAATATCTTGATAAAAACCGGATCCTCTCGGAGAAGCAGCACGGCTTCAGAATAGGTTATTCTTGTCTCACTAACTTATTAGTCGCTCGTGAAAGCTGGTGCGCTCTTAAGGACCAAAAGCTACCTGTAGACGTCGCCTTCATTGATTTCAGTAAAGCTTTTGACAAAGTTCCGCACAACCGGCTGTTATATAAGGAAAGGAAAGTCGGGATTGGAGGCAATTTATTGATGTGGATTAAAGACTTCTTAGTTGGGCATCAACAAAGAGTAAGGGTGAACTCAAAGTTATCTAGCTGGGAAACTGTGCTTAGTGGAGTGCCCCAGGGTACAGTTTGGGGGCCAGTGCTATTCCTCTTGTATGTAAATGACCTTCCTTGTCTCCTATCATCATCGGACTTGCTATATGCTGACGATGTCAAGATATGGAGAACGATACGATGTAAGAGTGATAGCTTAGAACTTCAAAATGACCTGAAGAAGTTATCTGAATGGTCTCAAACATGGCAGTTGCCGATAAATACTTCCAAGTGTGTTGTGATGCATATCGGTCATCAAGGCACAGATACATACACGATGAATAACACTAAGCTACCTGTCGTCCAGACATATAATGACTTTATCGTTAGTTATCGTTAGTCAAGACTTAAAGACTACTGCACACTTCCGTGCAATAGCCGACAAAGGTTTTAGAACCTTATGGTCAATACGTAGAGCTTTTAGTCATGCCGACGCCAAAACGTTTTTGAATTTGTATACAGTGTTCGTTCGTCCTAAACTTGAGTACTGCATACAAGCGGCTAGCCCCTGCTTAAAAACAAGACAGTGAGCTTCTGGAAAGGGTTCAGAGAACGGCGACTAAGCTGATTCCCGGAATAGCTTCCGTATGAATCTCTACTGGCCAAGCTGAATCTTTTCCCGTCGTCATATGGCAGAACTAGAAGCGACTTGATTACAGTTTTCAAATTGCTTAGTGATAAATTTTCACCTGATATGCCTTCATTTTTCTTGTTTTCCAAAACAGAGAATTTACGAGGACACTCCAAAAATCTTCATAAGCCGAGAACAAATTACTTATCAGCTGACTATCGACTTTCCCATCGAATCATCAACGAGTGTGTTATAACCCAGTAAAGATTAAATTACAGGTAACTCCCGAGGACTACTAATGGACTAATATTCTATAAATATTCTTATTGTAAAACTATAGAATAATTAGTTTATGTATATTTATATTCCTCTAATTATAAGCTTTATTTTGACCTATGATTTATTATTATGCGATTTACGGTTCTTAATCTATGTTCAGTCTATTAATTACTATCTCCCTCGTTCACAGCCACTTTTTGGCTTATTTGTGTACACATGCGATTTTTTAATTTATGGTACGTTGTGGTCTGTCTGTTTGATATATAAACCGAGTATGTTTGAAATAAACGATCTGCTCTGATTCGAAGCTGGTATTGTGTTCTGGACTCAAGTGGAAGGGCTCGGAGGACATAGGACCAATAAGGACGCTAAACTGTCCACACCGGTTGAACGTCATTGGTTGGCCTAGTGTGAAAATTCGTATAAGTCGTATTCGGATTGGTCGATAAGTCGCGTGATAGCAAAACCAGACATCCAAGGTCATAACAGAGTGAAATTCGATACCACAGCACGTGGTTGAGGCTCCATCCGTCGACTCTTTCAAAAGAAAATTGGATCAACTAAGAGACCACCATTGCCACGACTAACATAGACCATCGAGCCTCCTGTCCTTCCCAAACTGAAACTGAAACTAACCATTTTAGATCTACAAAATCGCATGGAACTTAGACACTGTATAACTGATGGTTCTCATACCATAAACACTTCGCAGACGATGATGATCGAATACACATGATCTACGCCCTTTCCCTTCTACGATAATAATATCTCACAGTCATTAAAAAACCGCGGAGTTGATTGCTGCATGGTACACTGCATCAGTCGATGCAGTAGGATAATTTATTAAGAATGATAAATTATTATACATTTCAACCCCACTCCAGCCAATCACTTCTATGTGAGCAATTATGTAACGTTACTAGCTTTCATACACAAAAAAGTGTGGCCCGGACAGATTATTTGAATCATTCCGTTCTTCCTGAAAACCTGGACCGATATTATTTTGTTCATAGATATATGGTGATAAGTTTGTTCATTTAATTTTCCACCTTTCTAATACCATAAAGAGCATATTTTGAAAGTAATCACTTGGAATTCATTGAAAAAAATAACCATCAAGGAAACTACTCTACAACACAAAATCTTACCATGGTCATTGTCATTCTGTCAATCTCATGTTTATCCTTTGTCTTGTGATGTCGGAATGGACTATGACCTCTTAATAATTTGTATAACATGCATCCAAGTGAAAACCAATCAGCTGAGGAATCATATGGACAACCTTTTAACAGTACCTCAGGAGCCATGTAACCGTGGGTCCCAACGCTAGCATGAGGTTTCCGACGTGAAAAATCACAGGCTAATCCCAAATCACTGATTCGAACATGACCATATTCGTCCAGAAGTATGTTTGCAGGCTATTTTTTCGGGAGAAAAAAAGCAAGAGGTAGAAATAGATCCAAACAAACTAAATCTAAAAAAACATCTACCTAAACAATAAAACTCTACCTAACAAGTATCACTCAAAACTGACATACCACAATTCAAAGTGTAGAAGTATACTTCAATGGTCTGAATATTTGTTAAATGCGTGATTCATGAAGATAAAAGCTACCAGGTGCCAATTGTGATCGCAATTTCGCCTAACACCAAGACCTCAAAAAAATACTTTGACCCTTTATACTAAGACTTTAGTTGAAGTAGTATACTTAACGTACGGTAATTTGCAATACCTGTCGTAAGTGGATTTAGAAACTTCACTTTGAGCATCCGGTGCAACAAAAACTGTCATGTAAAGGAGGAAAACTCTCAATCATAAAGTCATAATGTCGAAACTAAGTGTGTGATAAATAAATAAATAAATAATATATTTGTAATATCCCAATGAGTAGAAAAATTAGATTCGGTTATTTATTCTTTGAAGAAGCGGCTTACACTGAGTCATAGAACGTCGGAAAATTTAATTCTTCTACTCATCGGGATAATACAAAAATATTAATTTATTTATAACAATCTACCCAATGCTCAATTTATTCAAAATTTTCAAGTCAAACCTTGGTAACGATACCTATAAGTGTGTGATATTTCTGGTAGTCATTATCAGACAATCAAAAGTGAATCTATTGGAGATGCTAAATCCCGGACCAAATACAACATACGGTAAAATTCAATTTTAAAATACACATTGATTTAAAGTGAATTTTGTTTTTGACTTCCGCATTAATTATTCTAAACCGATTTTCATTTATTGACTTTCAGTGAATTTTCAATAGCTTCCGTTCACTATGAAATCGATTATTTGATTTTAATACATTTTCCATTGTATTCATCAATATACTGTGTTTTTATGCCTAACAACAACAACAACAAAACGTTCAGAAGGACTATAGAGGACGTGAGAACCAAGAGAGGAGCTGATATAGCATCAGATCATCACTTGCTGGTCGCCAAGATGAAATTGAAACTCAAAAAGCACAGGACAATGGGGCGGACAATATCACAAAAGTTCAATACGGCCTTTCTTCAGGATACTAACAAACTCAACAAATTCAAGATAGTCCTCAGCAACAAGTTCCAGGCCTTTCATGATCTACTCAATGGAGAAGGAACTACTGTGGAGAGCAACTGGAAGGGGATCAAAGAGGCAATCACTTCAACATGTCATGAGGTCCTGGGTCACAAGAAGCACCATCACAAGGAATGGATCACTGTTGACACACTGGATAAGATTCAAGAAAGAAGGAACAAGAAGGCAGCAATCAATACCAGTCGAACAAGAGCAGAAAAAGCCAAGGCACAAGCTGAATACACAGTAGTAAACAAACAAGTGAAGAAGAGCATCAGAACCGACAAACGTAAATATGTGGAAGGTCTAGCAAAGACGGTGGAAAAGGCTGCAAGAGAAGGGAACATGAGACAATTGTATGACATAACAAAGAAACTCTCTGGAAATCCCCGCAAACCAGAACGACCAGTAAAAAGCAAGGAAGGCGAAGTAATCACTGACATTGAAGAGCAACGAAACAGGTGGGTAGAACACTTCAAAGAACTCTTGAATCGACCAGCTCCACTGAACCCACCCAACATCGAAGCAGCACCCACAGACCTCCCAATCGATGTTGGCCCACCAACAATTGAAGAAATCAGCATGGCCATCAGACAAATCAAGAGTGGCAAAGCAGCAGGACCAGACTACATTCCAGCAGAGGCACTAAAAGCAGACGTAGCGGCAACTGCAAGGATACTCCACATTCTCTTCAATAAGATTTGGGATAAGGAACAAGTACCAACAGAGTGGGAAGAAGGACTCCTGATCAAAATACCGAAGAAAGGCGATCTCAGCAAGTGTAATAACTACAGGGGCATCACTCTTCTCTCAATACCGGGAAAAGTCTTCAACAGAGTATTATTAAACAGGATGAAGGACTGCGTAGACGCCCAACTTCGAAACCAACAGTCAGGATTCCGTAAGGATAGATCGTGTACAGACCAAATCGCAACTCTACGGATCATTGTGGAACAATCAATTGAATGGAATTCATCACTCTACATCAACTTCATTGACTACGAAAAGGCATTTGATAGCGTGGACAGGACAACACTATGGAAGCTTCTTCGACACTACGGCGTGCCTGAAAAGATAGTCAATATCATACAGAGTTCATATGATGGATTACACTGCAAAATCGTGCATGGAGGACAGTTGACAAAGTCGTTTGAAGTGAAGACCGGTGTTAGGCAAGGTTGCTTACTCTCACCCTTTCTCTTTCTCCTGGTGATCGACTGGATCATGAAGACGTCAACATCTGAAGGAAAACGCGGGATACAGTGGACGTCTAGGATGCAGTTGGACGATCTAGATTTCACAGACGGTATGGATCTTCTATCCCAAACGCAACAACAGATGCAGGAGAAGACGAACATTGTAGCAGCAGCCTCAGCAGCAATAGGTCTCAATATACACAAAGGGAAGAGCAAGGTTCTCCGAAACAACACAGCATGCACCAATCCAATCACAATGGACGGAGGAGATTTGGAAGATGTAAAAACCTTATATATTTGGGCAGTATCATTGATGAACATGGTGGATCTGATGCAGATGTGAAGGCGCGGATCGGCAAAGCAAGAGCAGCATATTTACAACTGAGGAACATCTGGAACTCAAAGCAACTGTCAACCAACACCAAGGTCAGGATTTTCAATACAAATGTCAAGACAGTTCTACTGTATGGGGCGGAAACCAGGAGAACTACGAAAGCCGTCATCCAGAAAATACAGGTGTTTATTAACAGTTGTCTACGCAAAATACTTCAGATCCGTTGGCCGGACACTATTAGCAACAACGTACTGTGGGAGAGAACAAACCAGATCCCAGCGGAGGAAGAAATCAGAAAGAAGCGCTGGAAGTGGATAGGACACATATTGAGGAAAGCACCCAACTGCGTCACAAGACAAGCCCTCACATGGAAACCTCAAGACCAGAGGAGGAGAGGAAGACCAAAGAACACATTACGCCGAGAAATGGAAATAGACATGAAAAAGATGAACAAGAATTGGATGGAATTAGAAAAGAAGGCCCAGGACAGAGTGGGTTGGAGAATGCTGGTCGGCGGCCTATGGTCCATTAGGAGTAACAGGCGTAAGTAAGTAAGTAAGTAAGTAAGTAAGTAAGTAAGTAAGTAAGTAAGTAAGTAAGTAAGTAAGTAAGTAAGTAAGTAAGTAAGTAAGTAAGTAAGTAAGTAAGTAAGTAAGTAAGTAAGTAAGTAAGTAAGTAAGTAAGTAAGTAAGTAAGTAAGTAAGTAAGTAAGTAAGTAAGTAAGTAAGTAAGTAAGTAAGTAAGTAAGTAAGTAAGTAAGTAAGTAAGTAAGTAAGTAAGTAAGTAAGTAAGTAAGTAAGTAAGTAAGTAAGTAAGTAAGTAAGTAAGTAAGTAAGTAAGTAAGTAAGTAAGTAAGTAAGTAAGTAAGTAAGTAAGTAAGTAAGTAAGTAAGTAAGTAAGTAAGTAAGTAAGTAAGTAAGTAAGTAAGTAAGTAAGTAAGTAAGTAAGTAAGTAAGTAAGTAAGTAAGTAAGTAAGTAAGTAAGTAAGTAAGTAAGTAAGTAAGTAAGTAAGTAAGTAAGTAAGTAAGTAAGTAAGTAAGTAAGTAAGTAAGTAAGTAAGTAAGTAAGTAAGTAAGTAAGTAAGTAAGTAAGTAAGTAAGTAAGTAAGTAAGTAAGTAAGTAAGTAAGTAAGTAAGTAAGTAAGTAAGTAAGTAAGTAAGTAAGTAAGTAAGTAAGTAAGTAAGTAAGTAAGTAAGTAAGTAAGTAAGTAAGTAAGTAAGTAAGTAAGTAAGTAAGTAAGTAAGTAAGTAAGTAAGTAAGTAAGTAAGTAAGTAAGTAAGTAAGTAAGTAAGTAAGTAAGTAAGTAAGTAAGTAAGTAAGTAAGTAAGTAAGTAAGTAAGTAAGTAAGTAAGTAAGTAAGTAAGTAAGTAAGTAAGTAAGTAAGTAAGTAAGTAAGTAAGTAAGTAAGTAAGTAAGTAAGTAAGTAAGTAAGTAAGTAAGTAAGTAAGTAAGTAAGTAAGTAAGTAAGTAAGTAAGTAAGTAAGTAAGTAAGTAAGTAAGTAAGTAAGTAAGTAAGTAAGTAAGTAAGTAAGTAAGTAAGTAAGTAAGTAAGTAAGTAAGTAAGTAAGTAAGTAAGTAAGTAAGTAAGTAAGTAAGTAAGTAAGTAAGTAAGTAAGTAAGTAAGTAAGTAAGTAAGTAAGTAAGTAAGTAAGTAAGTAAGTAAGTAAGTAAGTAAGTAAGTAAGTAAGTAAGTAAGTAAGTAAGTAAGTAAGTAAGTAAGTAAGTAAGTAAGTAAGTAAGTAAGTAAGTAAGTAAGTAAGTAAGTAAGTAAGTAAGTAAGTAAGTAAGTAAGTAAGTAAGTAAGTAAGTAAGTAAGTAAGTAAGTAAGTAAGTAAGTAAGTAAGTAAGTAAGTAAGTAAGTAAGTAAGTAAGTAAGTAAGTAAGTAAGTAAGTAAGTAAGTAAGTAAGTAAGTAAGTAAGTAAGTAAGTAAGTAAGTAAGTAAGTAAGTAAGTAAGTAAGTAAGTAAGTAAGTAAGTAAGTAAGTAAGTAAGTAAGTAAGTAAGTAAGTAAGTAAGTAAGTAAGTAAGTAAGTAAGTAAGTAAGTAAGTAAGTAAGTAAGTAAGTAAGTAAGTAAGTAAGTAAGTAAGTAAGTAAGTAAGTAAGTAAGTAAGTAAGTAAGTAAGTAAGTAAGTAAGTAAGTAAGTAAGTAAGTAAGTAAGTAAGTAAGTAAGTAAGTAAGTAAGTAAGTAAGTAAGTAAGTACGTAAATTTTGTAATTAATAATCATTGAACAATCGATATGTAATCGAATGAACTTGAATGTAAATTAACAATTCTGGGGTCTTCGCCAATACGACCTTTTTTCATTGTATTTCATCGCGCGGGGAATTGTCGTTTAAGTGTTGTATATTAGTTGTCCAGTCTATTCATGTCGTACAAGATCCGTTTTATTATGGAAGAAACTTCCAATAGCTCACCGATAATCAGAAACATCGGACCTAAACTCAATTCAAAGCCGATTCATATATCCACTTAGTGCCATCGTATTTAAAATTACTACAATAACAGAGAGTACCCTTCATGTCGATGTTAAAAAGAAACTATCTATAAGAGCTTCATTTAGATTCCAACCCAAGAATTTGAATAGAAATTAACCAGTACACCGTTTATTAATCAGATTATGAATAACTTTGGTTAATAGAGTGGAATATATCAATATATAGTAATAGAACTTTAGCAATACAATTGGAATTTTTTATTCAACATTCAGAACAAAGGCAAATCCAAACTAGTTTCCAGGTTTTTAAGGTCGAAATTTATCCTACTAAGTACGTGAAGTTTATCTGGTCAGAACAACTCCATATTCAATGTGACAGCATTTAGTTCATATATCCCCAAATAAGTTTTAGTAAAAGGAAAATAGGTATCCAAATGGTAAAAGCTTAAAATATTAAGTTGGTATATTTACCTTCAAATCGCGATATACAATGAAACGATTATGCATATGCTCCAAACCCAATATAACTTCAGCTGCATAAAAACGTACTTCTGATTCAGAGAAGATATTATGTTGAGTAAGATGATAGTGTAAATCACCACCATTCATTAAATCTAGTATAAAGCATAATTTTTCTGGAGTTTGGAAGGCGTACGTCATACAAACTATAAAAGGACAACCATCCTATTTGTTTTAGAAAAAGAGAAAATAAAAACCTTGGTAAATACAACACTGAGCAAATAAAATTAATGCCCCAACTAGCTTACCATCAAAGGCAACCACGTAATGTACGAACAAGCCAAGTTCAGACAGAAAACATATATTAATTTGGCGAAAAGGTAGATTGCTTATGAAATACACAGACCTAGTTTTGGATCTTTCGTTTGCATCTATTGTGTGTTCCGCAATCCAAGCTGGTTTTAGACAGTCTTCCATGGCTTCTCTTCTGCTCTCACAAGTATCCTGAACTCTCTGTATTTTTGGTTTTCTGAGACTCCTATTTTCAGCTATCGACGATAGGAACTCTCATTCAATGTTCTACTACATACTACTTATAAGCAATTTTGTGAGTGGTGTCCACCACCACCATATTAAGATGATTATTTACAAGGAAAATTATGTAATATAAGTAAATTCTAACGTCAAAAGAAAGCTTTTACGTACACCGACTGATTTATATATTTACACAAAAGGGAAAAATATCCAGTTTAGTAATTAAAGCTGTAACCATTCATACCTAAACATTTCTCTTATTTTAGTGTAACTGATTGATACTAACTATCGAACCTTCAAAGTGATTTTTCGTATTCTGTAAGATACATTATGAAGTAGAGAATAATTGTTCTTGTACAGCTTACATTTATAGGATGAAAGAAACAATTCCAATTTATTTACGCGGAAAATGGTTGTGTAATTCATCCCTGTCCTGATTTAAAATAATGTGAAATTTTTCTAAATCGATTTCCCTATCACTCCCATTTGCTTGTCTAGTCTATGTAAGTTTTTATTTATCTAAAAACTGATTCAGTAACGTTATAACTCAGGTTCTTTTAAGCATGAATAAATTTTGAATGTTCAATTTGCCATTTTGCTTTGACACGCTTTTATTTTATTGCGCCATTATTTTCGTTGTCACTTCAAATAATGATTAACTCAGTAGAAAAACAACATGGAAAACATGGAATAAAGTCTAGTGGTAAAAAACTAATACTCTCTATTCAAATATATTTCCATCATTACGGCGGGATAGTTTTTAGGAAAAACTCTAAATTCAGTAATAAACAATCAGACGCGCTTGTGAAAGTGGGAGTCCTGAAATTAAATTGAAATACTTAATAATATATGTCGCATAAATACAGTGTAAATTACTGAGAGTATTTAGGTTGTCCTACGTACAAGTAACTATTTCAAAGTCATTTATTTCCAGCAAAAGTATAAAGTTGACTAAATAAGCATCTGGTTGTCAGAACAAGTAACTAACATGTTCAAACAATAACAGACCACAAATTTCAGGGGAAATGTGTTTTTCACAAATGTAAAAACATCACAAAATCTCGGAAGATTCCAGATTAAACCAGTTTGCCTACAGTATAAAGTCTTGGAGAATACAATTTATAGCCTACATGCTTAAACACAACGTTTAAACGATAGATAAAAGTCGGTAATTATTATACCTTGTAGGCCTAGTGCCCCTATTAATATATTATGTAATGATACCGCCAATTAGAGAACAGTGAATTATCAATCGGACTAATGACGCATAAAAACCGTACGAGCAGTCCAGAGTCCTTAACGGTCTTGCTTCCTGTCTATCCATGCCTGTTAAGTCCATAACACCAACCTCAGCCTCCACGATAGGAATCATGTATTCCAAACATATTGGGTTTATGTGCAAACCAAACAGATCGCATTATACCATATAACAGAAAATAACATTTGTACAAGATTTCGCAAAAAGTGGTTGTGAATGTGGGAGACTGTAATTAATAGACTGGACATAGCTCAAGAACGGTAAATCGCACAATAGTCTATGAGTCAAAATAAAGCTTACAATAAGAGGAACACAAATATGTATTTTTAAAGATCTAACAATTATACAACAAAAATATATACATCGTACTGGTCAATAAATAGTTCTCAAGAGTTACCACTCATAATCCTCACCGGGACATAACAGTAATAACGACTATACATATGAGGTCATTTATTCTTTGATTTAGGACTAATGAGTCGAAGTGAGCAGGAAGTCAAAATCCCTAACTATGGCTTTAAAATTCTTTTGATTAAAACAACTTGATTAATTTTGTGGTTATTAGACAGAACAATGTCTCGATTGATGGGTCTCTAATTAGCAAACTACTCAGTAGATACTGGTGAGATTTATTAACCATGAAAAATGAATTTCTACTTTAAGTCTAGAAGTACATACACATGAAACTAAAGAAACATCCCACATAAAAATACACATACAAATGTATTTAAGGTCTTGACTGTTAAGCTGACTTCAGCATTCGAACCGTGCCTACGCGATCACCTACACATCTCTGATAACCCAGTGTAAATGCCATTATAACCAGAAAAATAAAAGTTATTTCAGAACCGTAGAATACGCAAGTGACATGATTTTATTTGATGAAGACTGAAAGATTATACAGTCCCTTGAACAGCCTGAGTAACAATGCAAACATGGTTGGGATGCATTTCTTTACTTCTAAATCCCAAATGTTGATTAATGAGTGGTCTGCATCGACACCCAGAGTGATCATAGCAAGTGACGTTGTTATGGTTCACCTTGGTCACGCAGATCGATATCCCAACATAATAGTGAACCTGCTAGCGGGATATAGATTGGATTAAAGCATATTCTGTTGAAGACTGTGTTGAGGACCCGTTGATTGACCGTTTCTTAACCAATAAGCGCTAGCAGATACTTGAAGAAGAATCTAGAACCTTCTCATGTAAAAACCTTAAATAATATTAACAGTTTTCTTATTGTGATTTGTACCTTGTTTATCTGGAATATAATTACGTTCCTGTTCAATCGTGCTCTGATTTGGGGACTTGTCAAGTGGAGTAGTGTACGTGAATGCTAGACAATAAGTGTAGCTGGGTCGTAATAAGGGTACTTTCGAACCATCGGTTGCGTATAGCGGAACAACTACATGAGCACTGTTAAGTAATCCTGATAAAAAGTACTGAACTAAAATGGCAAATCGGCTTATGACATCGTGAACCTTTATCGACTGAGATGGTTGAGACAAGCGTTACATATTCCCGACCACCGCAAACATCGACACTCGATGTCACCTGGAGTAGAAATGGGTTAAAAGAAGATCAGGAGGACGGATATAAAATATGACATCAGTTTATGAAGTCACTGACTCTCAGACTGAGCTGTGTAGGTAACATTAGACTAGTTGGTTCGGATCTTCGTGATTATCGTAACTAGTGGTTGGAGACATATTTCAAAATAGGTCACAGTAGTGCAGATTCAGTCACTCATTTTCCCTCCCAAGTCGTAAGCTTCAGTTTTATTTCTTTAAATCCATTCTGTCTTTGAGAACTTTATTTTCTTTGTCACTGTCACCGATACTAGTAATTTTGTTAATTTTACCGCACTAATGTACTATGGCAACTTGAGCTGGAGCATTTGTCAGATCCTATGTTGATTATGGCTAACTTAATAGGAACACTAATGTCCAAAGATGTGTGAACTGAAAGTTTCACATTGTTTGTGGCTACTCACGAACCGTAACACAAAACCTATCAATAGCACATTATGCGGACATTAAAAAAAAAACAATAGAAAACAAGTACTCACTCCTGTGCTAACAAGTGAAAGCATAACACGTTCATTGAGGGCCAAAGTTTCTCCCCCTTTCATTTTGATCCTCTTTTTGTCCAGACATTTCATAGCATACCTACATAAAGAAATGTTCACATGATTAATCAGCCAAGACTAAATCAAATAAACGGCGTAAAACTCACTAAAACATTTCGTTTATCGTTATTTATAATAGGTATAAGAACCGAAAATTAACACCAAGGGTACTTTTCTCATAACATTTGTGGTTAATCAATCACATAAAGTTGTCGTTAGCATTTATTCTAGTTATCTTTGAATGATAAGCACAAAGAATTTTCGATGTTAACAACGATTGATGTTCAACGTACGACACTAGGCTTAACAACCTTTCAGAAGGAATTACACAGTTTCATGTTTGATAATCGAGTAGACAACCAATAAACTCAATACTCAAAACAAATACAAATATTACGCAAAACCTATTTATCAATAAAATTCACTAGACTATGTGTTTATCATCGACCTGGACGAAATTCAACAAATACTACTTTGAAGTAAATATACCTTAGTAGGATTGATAGAGTAAAATTGGATTAAATGTGTCAAGTAAAGAAGGTAACACGGAAGTCTTCATTGGCCGAAGTGGTTTAAATATGCATTATATATACCTAACTGCCTGTAGCTGAAGTAGAAGCGGTATACCAACGGAATATTGTTCTTTCGTATACTTCCAATAAATAGTTTTGTAAAACTAGAAGCGAGAAGAAACTACAGTCTGAAAGAACACCATCAACAGAAAGTAATTGAAGTTTGTAATTAGGTATGAAGATCATATATAGTCGCGTCGAATAAACGTGAATTGGCACATAGCCAATTAGCAACGAAGAAACAAGTCGAGTGGTACGAAGTAAATACTAATTTGGCTATTAGTAAGTAAGTTACGCTATTTTCACAGTACATTTTATGCGGGCCTATACTAAGTCAGAATAAATATCACAACTATGATTCGACATTCGGTCGATGCCCCCCCCCAACATATTGCTCCTGTTCGAGTGTGTAAGAATGAAACCAAAACATTTCTTTATTAAACTCATAAGCGTTTATACACATGCAAGTTCAAATTAGGATATAATAGGTGTTCGAGATTAAATCAAAGATGTAATCCTCTATAGATCCTGACATTCTGCAAGGATGTGATAGTCTGAATCACCGCAGTATATTGGATGGACCTGTAAACAGGTAATGCATAAAACACTTGAAGCATTTTATCACATAAGTGAGCAATATTAAGATTCTCTGCTAGATCTTAGACTATATGCTATGAAAAGTAACAATTAATGTATTCGTTTTTCAGCAATGCATGAATTTAATAGCCAGTATGTACTTACATTTTACCAGTGTCTGCTTTTCGGCATCCATAGACCTCCCCAAAACCACCACGCCCAATAATACGATGTACGCTAAAATCGTTTGTGGTTAACTAATAATATCAAATAATTGGGACTAATTAGTTAATATAACCATACGTTAATATTTAACTCCAAATCCTTCCATTGACAAAATCGAGTGAACTTATTACTGTTAACAAAGATAGAGTAACAAGTAAATAAAGGAATGTTAATCTACCTTCTAAGAAAATTTTCAAATACATCACCACGAAGGAACTGGAGGATTTCATCTTCATACAACTAAAAAATCAGAACAATTAAATGTAAAACCATACAGAAAATGTATCTGCTGGTAGCTTTTTAGTCTTTTGAGATAGAGTGAGTAGTTCATGGACATGATCCACAGTTGATTTAGAAAATTTCTGGCAAAATTCAAAGTTACTTAAGTAGACAAACATACGTGGTTATGCGATAAAAGTTCTTTCATAATGTGTTGATCATATATTTCTCGGCCAAACTTAATACGCTCTTCATCTGTGTCTAGCTTTTCAAACTTTTTAATCTACAGATTATAAAAAATAAATACTCTAAATACTTCTTACATTTTCGTAAAATGTAAGCTGAGGAACAGGTTCTTCACTTACATTGAGAACGAAGTCCCGAAACAACAAGTAACCTTAAATGGAAGGGAGATCTTAGCTACATTGTGGTCAGTCTACTTACCTAACTTCTCGTTAAAAATTTTATCGAAGGTCATTTGGTTGTTCTTTTCCAAATACTTGGTCATGATACCACGGATGCTGAAAAGATAAAAAACAATCTTGAATGAGATGAAATAGTGGAATCCATGTGTAAAGATTTACAATATCGACATGTTTAAAATGAACTATTATGGCTGGAAAACGCTCCATTGTTGAGCAATATTTTAAAAAAGATTACGTGAACAAATGACACTTGGATGACCAATGTTTTGCAGCTTGATACCGAAACTTTTGACAATGGAAATTTAACCTAAAAGAAAAAGGACTTGCTAGTGTGAAATTAATAACTTCAGCTGGAAAACACTTCATTATAAGAATAAATAAAACATAAAAACTGATTTTAATGTACCAGGGTAATGTCATTTTAATGACTATCAATTATTTACGAATAACTGTCTGGCTCAAAACGTCTGATAATGGCAGATCTAGGAAAAATGGCTGGAACTGAATTTCTTCGGTCCGCTATGAATCTCCCAGAAATAGAAACGTCTACACACTGCTTAGGAATTATCGTCCGGATTATAGATATTTTTGCTAACAAAATGACAAGCGAACACGACATAACAATACTGGTTTGTGAACATTCTCAAAACCATTTGAATGGAGAAAAGTATGGATTGAGATATTAATGAAACATTATGAATCGTATCCTCTCAAACAATGGAATAAACAGAAGTACCTAACATCCCATATATAGTTGGGCATAAATAAAATGACTACCTCCGCTCAATAAAAATAATAGTTAATTAAGTAGAGGTTGCTCTGTTACAACCCAATTCCATTGAGTTTAACGTTTTAGAAACTATTGCCTCATTCGTGTAGACCCTTTTGATGTATCTTCATCAGTTTTTAAAACTTGTACATACAGATGAAATGATAATCTTGTAAAATAAAAAGAAGAGTAGTCAAGCCAATAAGTGAGCAACGATAACAGCTGTTCAGTTAACATTAAAATGGCTCCAGAGATGCTCCAGATCACCATAAGTTGCCCTACCTTTCACTTACATAGACCGATCTTACACTATTATGAGTAGTTGTGCAACTGCTCATGTGCAAACTTTTACATTACTTAAAACAGTTCACTATAAAGCGTAGGTGCAGTCACATACCCCTGATAGTTCTCCAGACTTTTTTGGATTTCGAAAAGGAAAATAAACACCGTACCAATGGACACTTATTATCTACTGAATAAGTGGAACTTGGGTAGCCTGTGTATAATCGTGCGGTACATCAATGTAATCGAGGTAAAAATGTCCTACTTCAGGTAAAATTCGAACAACCACGTACCTATTTTGGAAATGCAAATGGTGAGATTTTTCAAACCTACCAAGCCTCACTAACTCCGCCTGGAGTCCCTCCGGGGGTACTGCCGGTCCCAAGCCCAGATAAAGGAGGAGGGTTGGGCATGGGGTTAGCGTCCCCATCCCGTAGACAACTAACTCGCTAAAAAAACGCTAACCAGGAAAAATTATTCAAACCTTGTAACCTCTGCCCTGGGAGTCAGAAGGTCTTCATTTAGAAGAACTATGACGTCTCATGATGAAAGCCGAATCCCTTCGGAAGTTACGAGGCTGATGCCCCTTCTGACAACCAGAGCGACCTTTCATTTGGGTACATGGAATGTTCGTACAATGTGGGACACCGGGAGAGCCTTCCAAATTGCTGCAGAAATGAGGAGATACAACCTAGAGGTACTTGGGATCAGTGAAACACAATGGACAACAACAACTAACGTCAGGGTAGGTTCTGTTATATTTTGGTCATAAAGAAGAAAAGCTCCACATACACAAGGAGTTGCATTGATGCTATACAAACAAACACAAAATGCACATATAGGATGGGAATCTCATGGACCAAGGATCATTAAAGCTCCACTCAAAACAAACAAAGAGGGCATTTCAATGAACGTCACCTAATGCTATGCGCCTACCAACGATTACAATGAAGACATTAAAGATCAATTCTACGATAGGCTGCAGTCAATCGTCGGGAAGTGCCCAACAACGGAATTGATCATTATCATGGGAGACCTAAATGTTAAATTTGGAATGGAAAACACCGGATATGAAGACATCATGGGACGACAAGGACTGGGAGAAAGGAACGAAAATGGTGAGAGGTTTGCAAACCTATGTGCTTTCAATAAACTGGTCGTAGGCGGCACCATATTCCCACACAAACTCATTCACAAAACCACATGGACTTCACCGGATCACACAACGCAAAACCAAATCGACCATATTTGCATCAACAAAACGTTCAGGAGGACTAAAGAGGACGTGAGAACCAAGAGAGGAGCTGATATAGCATCAGACCATCACTTGCTGGTCGCCTAGATGAAATTGAAACTCAAAAAGCACAGGACAATGGGGCGGACAATATCACAAAAGTTCAATACGGCCTTTCTTCAGGATACTAACAAACTCAACAAATTCAAGATAGTCCTCAGCAACAAGTTCCAGGCCTTTCATGATCTACTCAATGGAGAAGGAACTACTGTGGAGAGCAACTGGAAGGGGATCAAAGAGGCAATCACTTCAACATGTCATGAGGTCCTGGGTCACAAGAAGCACCATCACAAGGAATGGATCACTGTTGACACACTGGATAAGATTCAAGAAAGAAGGAACAAGAAGGCAGCAATCAATACCAGTCGAACAAGAGCAGAAAAAGCCAAGGCACAAGCTGAATACACAGTAGTAAACAAACAAGTGAAGAAGAGCATCAGAACCGACAAACGTAAATATGTGGAAGGTCTAGCAAAGACGGTGGAAAAGGCTGCAAGAGAAGGGAACATGAGACAATTGTATGACATAACAAAGAAACTCTCTGGAAATCCCCGCAAACCAGAACGACCAGTAAAAAGCAAGGAAGGCGAAGTAATCACTGACATTGAAGAGCAACGAAACAGGTGGGTAGAACACTTCAAAGAACTCTTGAATCGACCAGCTCCACTGAACCCACCCAACATCGAAGCAGCACCCACAGACCTCCCAATCGATGTTGGCCCACCAACAATTGAAGAAATCAGCATGGCCATCAGACAAATCAAGAGTGGCAAAGCAGCAGGACCAGACTACATTCCAGCAGAGGCACTAAAAGCAGACGTAGCGGCAACTGCAAGGATACTCCACATTCTCTTCAATAAGATTTGGGATAAGGAACAAGTACCAACAGAGTGGGAAGAAGGACTCCTGATCAAAATACCGAAGAAAGGCGATCTCAGCAAGTGTAATAACTACAGGGGCATCACTCTTCTCTCAATACCGGGAAAAGTCTTCAACAGAGTATTATTAAACAGGATGAAGGACTGCGTAGACGCCCAACTTCGAAACCAACAGTCAGGATTCCGTAAGGATAGATCGTGTACAGACCAAATCGCAACTCTACGGATCATTGTGGAACAATCAATTGAATGGAATTCATCACTCTACATCAACTTCATTGACTACGAAAAGGCATTTGATAGCGTGGACAGGACAACACTATGGAAGCTTCTTCGACACTACGGCGTGCCTGAAAAGATAGTCAATATCATACAGAGTTCATATGATGGATTACACTGCAAAATCGTGCATGGAGGACAGTTGACAAAGTCGTTTGAAGTGAAGACCGGTGTTAGGCAAGGTTGCTTACTCTCACCCTTTCTCTTTCTCCTGGTGATCGACTGGATCATGAAGACGTCAACATCTGAAGGAAAACGCGGGATACAGTGGACGTCTAGGATGCAGTTGGACGATCTAGATTTCACAGACGGTATGGATCTTCTATCCCAAACGCAACAACAGATGCAGGAGAAGACGAACATTGTAGCAGCAGCCTCAGCAGCAATAGGTCTCAATATACACAAAGGGAAGAGCAAGGTTCTCCGAAACAACACAGCATGCACCAATCCAATCACAATGGACGGAGGAGATTTGGAAGATGTAAAAACCTTATATATTTGGGCAGTATCATTGATGAACATGGTGGATCTGATGCAGATGTGAAGGCGCGGATCGGCAAAGCAAGAGCAGCATATTTACAACTGAGGAACATCTGGAACTCAAAGCAACTGTCAACCAACACCAAGGTCAGGATTTTCAATACAAATGTCAAGACAGTTCTACTGTATGGGGCGGAAACCAGGAGAACTACGAAAGCCGTCATCCAGAAAATACAGGTGTTTATTAACAGTTGTCTACGCAAAATACTTCAGATCCGTTGGCCGGACACTATTAGCAACAACGTACTGTGGGAGAGAACAAACCAGATCCCAGCGGAGGAAGAAATCAGAAAGAAGCGCTGGAAGTGGATAGGACACACATTGAGGAAAGCACCCAACTGCGTCACAAGACAAGCCCTCACATGGAAACCTCAAGACCAGAGGAGGAGAGGAAGACCAAAGAACACATTACGCCGAGAAATGGAAATAGACATGAAAAAGATGAACAAGAATTGGATGGAATTAGAAAAGAAGGCCCAGGACAGAGTGGGTTGGAGAATGCTGGTCGGCGGCCTATGGTCCATTAGGAGTAACAGGCGTAAGTAAGTAAGTATCAAGCCTCACTATTGCAATGTAACATATTGATCGCATATTGATCACGAACATATGTATTATGAAGATTAAGGAGTACCAGTGGTAATGTAACTAAATTCTACGACACGTATTTTGTAGTCTACAATGATAATATCCAGTTGTTTAAACTCTAGTTAGTGGAGTGGGATCGGAAAATGTGACCACGTTGAAATAGGGTACCGCAAACTCGTATTCTCTAACGGGTAATTCAAACAGTTTGTACATTTTGGTATGATTTAGTCTGCTTCCTGTGTCAAACATATATGCTTGTGAAATACAAAAATATTACGTGTTCAAACTGTACTTATTTTTAAACATATTCAGTGCAATGAAAGCAATAAAACTATGATAATAGCAAGGTAAAAAATCAAGAGCAAACAAAACTGAGTCACTTGGGTTCAAGATATTTTAGTAGCCTGTTTTTACAACTACCGTATCAAAATCTATGTGAAGAGCAAACATTTTCATTTTCAAACAGTAAAAAGTACTGGACTTAACAAAAGATCATTGGAAAGTAGGATTTACAGAACTCCTGATGATTTGTTGATCATAAGCTAACCTTGAAAGGTGTATTCCTCAGCTGGGCTTATATTGGAGTAATTAAATTTATTTAACATAAATAATGGTATCATCACAAGTTGTTATACCCTCTGACGCAATACAGAAAATAAATATCCGTATAATATGCAAGTTATAAGTAACATATGAGCAAAAAGATTGCTAAATCGATTTTCCCGAAGGTTTCATGACCAAGTAAAGCACTTGCGAACGATTAGCACCAGAAGTGTAGAACATTACAACCTAAAAACAAAAGCTTCGGTGTGGGCTTCCGGGCAGTATCCCAGTCCTCACACAAATTAGATGGCGAAGTGTGTGGCATATATATTTGGTTCCACCTTGCATCAATGTTTTTGTTTAACTAAACAAATAAATAACCAAGGTAAAATTAATACACTTAAATAACGAACTATAACTTAGTGAATACTCTTGCTCAAAAAAAAACAACTGTAGTGTTCCCAAAGTATACTTCAACGCTATAATTATTTAGCCTTGGAACTCTACATATCTTGCCTTTTATATCGATAACTGAATGAGGCCAGGTTTTATACAAAATATTTGTGATAAGCGACTCCGAGTGACATGTACATAAAATTGTGAAGTGGTGACATCTTATAGCTACCACAATCACAATATGAAGCTTAAGTTAAAATTCTCCTACAGAGGCCTAGGCACTAGACTCTAACACGATTATTCAAATCAAAATATCAGGTAATTAAGTAGTTATAATTTTACACACCTTTTGCTTCTAATGAAGGGATCTGATTACTTTTAATGTGTTATCTACTTCGGCATGAGTAGTATCACCTAATTCAAAGTGAAAGGCATGATTTTGTACTTGATTAAAATGTACTAAAAGGCTATATTTTACTTACTCCATTACTGCCTGATTTCAAAATCAATCAAAACCTCCAACATGCTTTCGTTGTGAGAAAACGAAACGTGCTACCCACATAGTAGAGAAAAAACACGGGAATCTCACAAGTGCTATGTACTTCCATAAGTAAAATCCATACAGCTGCATTTATGGCAGTTGATACGGAATAGTAAAAACTAACACTGATTCCATGGGTAGTTTACGGATGTATAATCGTCTTATGAGGCGATTATAGTCTCAACACTGATCTCTGAGGTTACATCAGAATCTTATGTCTTCAAACTGTAGATATTTCATAGCCACAATTTTGCACTAATAAAAAGTAATCGATGAAAGCAAATCAATTTCAGAGTAACCTAGTAGATTCTAGAGCCAAAGACGGGGTGGTGTCAATCAACACTAAAACAAAACATTCCGAACCCAAACAATGCAAAATAAAGCAAAAACGAGCCAACGCAGTTTATGTGTACACAAAACAACTTTCTGTAAAATAGTGTTATGACGATTATTTATATTATCTAACTGATTGGAGATGTTCTGCTAGTTGAAAAAAGTGAGATATGCCGAGATAAAACAATCAACGGACTGTAAGATCAAAACTAAAACGACAATTCACCTGGGATCGGGTAAGGTAATTCTTTTGCTCGCACGAGCCGCTGGAGTAGATTTACTCATCTCCATAGCCATCAAATAGCTGACATCCGCTAGAACAGCTTCTAGATCAGCCATCTCCTCGTAAAACTTAGGGTTTTATAAGACGTTTATCCAGTAAGTATATTCCAATGAATAAAAGTCCCACTAAGTTATCGTAAACATAAGTCAAGTCCCTCATAAACAGCCATCATCAAGACGCTCATACATCGCGGTATCCTAAAATAGCTAGAAAAACAAAAGATAAGAGAAGGATTACTTATGAGCGAAGAAGGTTGAAATCATCAAATCTCATAGTATTGTGGAAGTTTAACTTCTTTTCAAAAGTGTCAAGAATTCAAAAAACTGAACTCTGTTCAAATAGCTATTTGAATTCGGAGAGTTGTGTGAGGAACAGAAGAAGCTTTGATATCAAACAACAGAAAGTCACTGATTCCTCAGATATGAAACTATGTAAACTTAGCGAACGAAAGAGAGGTATCAGTAAATTAGAACTTGTTACTATCCTGAGTCAGTTTTAGTGAAACCCGGCATGATATGGCATACAAAACGATATGTTATGCATATCTTTCTTGTTGCGACATCCTATATATACATCTGTCTTATATCTCGTGATGATTTTCTTATTCTCGAATTATTCTTGCATATTCATATATTTTATTCTTATGAATCTAAATAACTACGTAAACTTTTGAACTTCCGTTCTTTCACAACTCCACTCTGGTAAACCTTTCATTTTCGCCGATGAACTACAAGTGGTTTATTCATTCTCTTCTTTCACCAAGGAAAGCTATATTTCAGCGGTAATCCAAAAAAAATAAACAAGTTATACGAATAATATCCCAATGAGTAGAAAAATTAGATTTTCTGACGTTTCGTGGCCTAGTGTATGTCACTTCTTTAGAGAACAAATAACCAAAATTAGATGTTATACGAAAGAAATGTTTCGAGGAATTTGTCACTAAATGTTGACAAAAGTGGATTTATTCACATTGGACGCTGACTTACCCTAGATCTGGCTATACACAAACATACACTGAAACCTCTCAACATTTTTCGGGACTTGGCTTTGAGATATAGCAACAATTTGTACTTTTCTGAGCACGTTGCATCTCAAGTATTCAAAGCTAGAAAGTTCATTGGATTTCAGTAATATCAAATCGAAATTATTATTATACAGAAAATGTATCTTATCCATTCTTCAGTATGGTACTTCAGTTTACAGTAATTGAAGGCATAATGACCTGATTAAAACTGAAGGTGTTCAAACGAGGTCCATTAAAAGATGTTTTGGGGTATTTCGACAACATCGATTATCACCAGAGATGTCAACAACTAGAATTAAAACCTCTCTGGATCAGAAATGTCAAATTAAACTGTCTTTATCTACCGGCTTATTAATGTCATTTCCTACTCTACGGTATCCTCCCCTTCATACTCCCACAATCTACACAATAAGCAAAATATTCTAGCGACTCCAAAAACCTACACAAACTTAAGCAAACATTTTTTTCATTATTCGCTACTCAACCATGTGGAACAGATGCCAGTGGACCTCTGTTGCAGTGAAACTAAAATCCGGTTCATAAGTCTTCTTGGTGATTTTTTTTTCGGAAACTGGGTTGTGTCAATTATTGGATATCAATGTGTTTAATAGTGCTTTATACAACCAAAGTCCGTCATGTATCTAGTTAACTGAAAAGTAAAATGTAACCTTTGAAACCTCTCACAACTATTTTATTTTATTTCTATTTATCTTAATATATGAAGTCCGCTTATGTTCGTATTTATAATTATTACGGTTATTAATATAATTATTGGTCCCTCGACATATAAGATATTCTTTCCATCTCTTCCTGTCTTTCTAAACATATCTTATTCCTAAACATCCAAAGTCTACGACTAAAAGCAAGCAAAAAAACAAATTATCATGTTACTCCTAAAAAAATTAACGGTTACACAGCATTAAGATCTTAAGGATTCTTCCTAGGTTTCAGAGGGAAATATATTGACTCACTCTCATTCCGTCAAAGATTGAAGTCAGTCTGTTAACTACAACGTAGGATCAGACACATATGTACATCGGTCCACTTTGTCATACCTCATTAGCACAACAAGATGATTTAAGCTAAAATATTAGTCAGTCTGATCACTAAAACTAGACCACCATTCTCAAAAAAATCTGGAGCCAATCCATGTGGACCAGATGCACTTCTACGTTTCAGATCAATAGATTTTTAATTTCAGTTAAACTAGGAGGGCTTCATTCAATAGTCCACTCAGGCTGTTTATGAGCGGTTGGCAGAAGGTTTACATAATTCCTTCCTCAGAGCTAAAACTCCGCTTGTAGCTCTTCTAAAGTTACTGCCGGTCCCATGCCCGGGTAAAGGAGGAGGGTTGGGCATGTGGTTAGCGTCCCCATCCCGTAGAAAACTAACTCGCTAAAACAACGCCTACCAGAAAAAATAATCCAAACCATTTTAACTCTGTCCTGAACGTTAGAAGGTCTTCATTCAGAAGAATTATGACGCTCCATGGTGAAAGCCGAGTTCCTTCGGAAGCCACGAGGCCGATGCCCCTTCTAACAACCAGAGCAACAATCTTTATAGGTACATGGAACGTCCGAACAATGTGAGAGACCGGGAAGATCAGCCAAATAGCAACGGAAAAGAGGAGATACAAATTGGCAATAATGGGAATCAGCGAAACTCACTGGACCCCAGCTGGACAGAAAAGGCTAGCTACGTTAGAGATGCTGCTATACTCCGGTCACGAAGAGGAAAATGCTCCACACACTCAGGGAGTTGCTCTAAGGCTGTACAAAGTAGCACGAAACACACTTGTAGGATGGGAATCTCACGTATCGAGAATCGTCAAAGCATCATTCAAAACAAAGAATGAGGGGATCACAGTGAATATTATCCAATGTTATGCACCCACCAACGATAGCAACTACGACATTAAAGATCAATTCTACGAGCGGCTGCAGTCAATCATAGAGAAATGCCCAAGAATGGACCTCAACATTCTAATGGGAGATCTAAATGCCAAAGTCGGAATAGACAACACCGGATATGAAGATATTATGGGACGACAGGGACTGGGAGAGAGCAACGAAAATGGAGAAAGATTTGCAAATCTATGTGCACTCAACAAACTGGTCATAGGGGGCACAATATTTCCACACAAGCGTATACTCAAGGCTACATGGATCTCACCAGACCACACTACAGAGAACCAAATAGATCATATTTGCATCAATAAAAAATTCCGAAAGACAATGGGAGATGTGAGAACCAGGAGAGGAGCTGACATAGCTTCAGATCACCACCTAGTTGTGGCCAATTTAAAACTGAAGCTAAAAAAGAACTGGACAAGTGGACAAACAGCACTACAAAGGTTCAATACAGCCTTCCTTCGAGATACTTACAAACTCAATGAATTCAAGATAGCTCTCAACAACAGGTTCCAAGCCTTACAAGATCTACTGAAGGAAGAAGAAACTAGTATGGAGGACAACTGGAAAGGCATCAAGGAAGCATTAACTTCAACGTGTCAAGAGGTTCTGGGTCTAAAGAAATACCATCATAAGGAATGGATCTCTACAGAAACACTGGACAAGATCAAAGAAAGGAAGAACAAGAAGGCAGCAATAAACAACAGCCGAACACGAGCAGAGAAAGTCCAAGCACAAGCTGAATACATAGAAGCAAACAAACAAGTGAAGAGGAGCATTAGAGCCGACAAGAAGAAATATGTGGAAGAACTAGCAACGACGGCAGAAAAAGCTGCTAGAGAAGGAAATATGAAACAGCTTTACGATACAACGAAGAAACTATCAGGGAAACACAGTAAACCAGAGAGACCGGTCAAAGACAAAAAACGCAAGCCGATCACTGGAATTCAACAACCGGTGGGTAGAATACTTCGAGGAACTCCTGAATAGGCCGGCTCCAATGAATCCACCGGACATCGAAGTAGCACACACAGATCTCCCTATAGATGTCAACCCACCAACGAAGGAAGAAATCAGAATGGCTGTCAGACAAATCAAGAACGGGAAAGCAGCGAGACCGGACAACATACCAGCTGAAGCACTGAAGTCAGACATCGAAGCAACTACAAACATGCTTTATCTTCTATTCAAAAAGATTTGGGAGGAGGAACAAGTGCCGATGGACTGGAAAGAAGGACACCTTGTCAAGATTCCAAAGAAAGAAGATCTGAGCAAATGTGAAAACTACAGAGGCATTACACTGCTGTCAATACCAGGGAAAGTCTTCAACAGAGTGTTGCTGAACCGGATGAAGGATGCAGTAGACGCCCAACTTCAAGATCAACAAGCTGGATTCCGTAAGGATCGGTCGTACACTGAACAAATTGCTACACTACGGATCATTGTCGTACAATCAGTTGAGTGGAACTCGTCACTATACATCAACTTCATTGATTATGAAAAAGCAATTAACAGTGTGGATAGGAGGACATTATGGAAACTTCTTCGACACTACGGAGTTCCTGAGGAGATTGTCAATATTATCCGGAACTCATACGACGGACTACAGTGCAAAGTCGTGTATGGAGGACAGCAATCCAATCACTCTTGATGGCGAAACTCTGAAAGATGTAGAATCCTTCACATACCTAGGAAGCATCATCGATGAACAAGGAGGTTTAGATGCAGACGTAAAGGCAAGGATTAGCAAAGCAAGGACAGCATTCCTACAGTTAAAGAACAAATGGAACTAAAAACAACTTTCAACCAATATCAAAGTGAGAATCTTCAATACCAACGTCAAGGCAGTTCTACTGTATGGAGCTGAAACTTGGAAAACTACAATAACCACAATCAAGAAAGTACAAATATTTATAAATAGCTATCTACGCAAGATACTCAACATCCATTGGCCGGATACCATCAGCAATAGCCTTCTGTGGGAGAGAACAAACCAACTTCCAGCTGAAGAAGAAATTAGGAAAAGACGATGGAAATGGATCGGACATACATTACACAAATCATCAAACTGCATCACGAGACAAGCCCTAACTTTGAATCCTGAAGGGAAGTGGTAAAGAAG